GCTGCTGATGGTTCTGGCTCTGCTTCTGGCTCTGCTGCTTCCGTTCGTTCTTTGTGTGGAATGGAGGGAAAGGGGGAAGGGTGTACCAGTTGTACCTGCTCATAGTAAACCTCTAAAAGTGATTAGCCGCAGTGGCTACCTGTCCACCAACTGTGCCACTACCTAAGCGTAGCTGCCGTTGCGACCGCACTTTGGTCATTAGAGCAATGGCAAAACATTTCATATTTCATTTCACTTCTAGTCCCCGAACATTTCCACACAGGGGGAGTGGGGGGGGCGTGGCAGCAGGGGCGTTGGTAATCCATCTGAAAATTTCACACGTCACACAAACTATTCTCTCAATGGGTTTTTAATGAAGTTTCACAGCAAAAATGCTACCAGCGATGCGATTCACCCTTATGGTAGATGGGTAGATGGTAGGATGGACTTACGGGGGGGCGGTTGTCACTTTGCATTAGTATTCAATGCGCTTCAGTGGCAGAGGCAGAAGCAAGTCGAGTCGAGTCGAGGCAGGCACAGAGCCAAGTCGAATCGAGTCGAGTTGCTGCTCAAAGTGACTTTCAATTTTCCAGCGACAGGGCAGAGGGAAATGGAAAGGGAAAGGTGCCGGGATAATCGTATAAAGGAAAAGGAACAACGAGCATGTTGTCAGCACTAATGAAATTACAAGAGACATGGGATAGGAGAGAGCAACTTGAAGCGCACTTTTCGACACTTTAAATAATTAAGCAACTTCAGCAGCAGCAGCTTTGCCCGAGGAGCTAATCACAAGTTTCCAAACAGCTGACAAAGCTCGAAGACTCGAAAGGAAGTCCCATAGAAATGCTGATGGATGCGGCTGATATCTTAAGCCAATCTTTGCTAAGGTTAAATGTGTGTGTTGTGTCCTCAAATTAATGTTCGCAGCACTCCAACGAGTGGGAAATGCATGCGAAAATTCAGCATTCAAGTGGACAACAATGGGCTCGAGTTGCCAGCACATGAGGTGTCCCCTGAATCCCGTGAATACTTGCATGTCCCTGCACGTATTGTGAATGTAAACTGGTGCTTGCCCAAAGGAAGGAAGAGAAAATGCCACCCATACAGTGAGCATTAGTAGGGGTGCCAAGCGACAACTTTTGCTAGAAAGAACAAAGCACACGTTAAGGATTGAGCAGTTCATCTGTTAAAAAAATATCAATTGAATACAGAAAAGCAACGAAAAAGCAAAGGTTGAACCATGGAAAGTTTCTGTCTGAAAGTGTTTCTGCATCTCAAAATAAATTATAGCCCATTCTCATGAGCACTCAAATATCGAAAGCCAATCCAAAATGGGTGCACCCGTGTGTGTGTGTGTTGCACTTAGTCGATGTGGCCTGTAATTGCATGTTAGACGGAATTGAGTGGCGAGACCTTTTGGGGGCATCATCATCATCATCGAGGGCCATTCCCGACTCGCTTGCGTGACGCCTGTGTTCATGTGTGTGGCCTGTGGCCTTTTACCTTTGCCTTTCCATGTAAAGGGTTAAGGCTTGCCCCCACAGTCTGCCCTGCTGTGAGGATCATTTAGACATAATTATGTTTAATATACGTTTCATTTCATTTGCAGCTTTTGGGAGCTGCAAGGACAGAGAACAAATGAAATGCTGTGTTCGGGCTGAAGGGCAAAGCCAACAATTGGGGAGCAGAAACAGAAACAGTCACAGAAACACCAGCAGCAGTTGGCAAACATTCAATGGAGGAGAAACAGAAACAGAAACCGAAACAGAATTCGGTCACACGAGTGGCGGAGGGGCCTGCGAGAATGTGTGAAAGCGCTATCTACAGGGTAGCAGAAGAGATTTGAGGCAGCACAAGGGCGCAATCAAAGTAGGAGGAAAACTTCAAATGAAAATAAATGGAGTCTGAACTCGAGCAACTCGAGTTGAATCAATTCTTTTCTACCGCTAATGCTGGAGTTGTCTCGATGTTGTCTTCCACTGATCTGTGGAAATCTTTAATTTAGTTTTAAAAGTTGTATGAAATCATTCGATAAACATTTAACACAATTATTCCCTGCTGTACGTGGCATCAGCAAGTTCATTCTTTGCGGCATGTACGATTATTTTTTTGGCATTTTTGTTGTTGTTTGTGCCGTAAAAACAAAATAAAGTCGACATATTTCATATGCATGCGTGTCCTTGGAGGACAGCTGGAGGAAATACAAAGGGCCAGCAGATTGAGGGGGAGCGAGAGGCGTGCCGACCACAAAAGTTGACAAATTTGAAAAAATTGCAACAGCGACAGGCGGCCAGATGCTGCCTTTGGGGCAAAACAAAATCAAAAGGGAGGAGAGAGCAGATCGAAAAAGCTTCGCAATTGAAAATCTGAAACGGTTGTGTGTGTGTGTGTGCTTTAATGTGTGTAATGTAAAGTTCCTTAGAACTTAAACCCTACTTTCCACTTAAGCCATCGATTATATATAAAAACATATCCTCCCGTTTGGGTCCTTAAATGTTTGTTGCAAAATACTCTCCACAGGAGAAGCAGCAGAGCATAATTGAACTCCACTATCAATAAACTGTATTAACATTTCCATTTATCCTTCCTTTCATATTCTTTACTGTCTATTTGCACAGAGAAGCAAACCAAATAAATAACAGCACAAAAGTTTCTTCGGCGCTCGTTCAATGTTTATAAACATGACGAGAAGTGCCCGCCTCCCCCTGCAATAATTTGTTTTTTTTTCCACATTTTACTTGCTCATTTTTCTTGGCCTTTGGCATATTCCCCACACCACCCACACACCAAACGAATGAACTAGAAATTGATTTAGCTATTTTGAGTTTCGATTGAGTTGCGGTCGAACGATTTGCACTTATTAAAAACCGAATAAGATACGGAATTGTCTGCACGTTTCAGCTCGGATTGCCATTGATTAATTATGCTCAGCAATGGGGTTGTAATTGGAACTCTTACACTCTCTCTCCACTCCCCCTGAAGGTGCAAGTTTTTTCGGTATTTTGTGGCCTTTTTGTATCTTTCATCAAGGCCAACTGGCATTGGTTGTCTCTGCTCTCCACCTACGGCCGGCTAAACGTTGTTTATGCTTTTATGTTGCTCAGCTGAACACCCTACACCCAGCCTACGAAATTTCTCTGATCCATTCTCTGGCTGCCTGTGCCAGGAGTCATTTAATTATGATTCAATATTCTCGACCAGGGCACAAACTTTATGCATTTATTCATATTATTCACATTGTTGTTGACACTTTTCAGCGGTGTAAGTGGGCTGAGGGAGTAGAAAACAGAAGAGACTTTCGCTTGAATCTTTTATATAATTGGGCAAAAGGATGCATGAGAGGATGCCCATCCAGGTCGCAGTGGCAGTCCCTGCCCAAGGCTGAACGGCGTCGCTCGCAACCTCTCTGACGTGGCCTCTAAGACGTAAGCGCTTAGTCGTCTGCCATCCACCTGAACAAATGCGTAATGCAACTTCATAAGACGCACGCGGAACTGTCAGACAGGAGGGGAGCCATAGGTGCGGCTGCTGGTGAATGACAGTTAAATGGAGTGTCACTGCCACTGCCACTGCCACTGCCACTGCCACTGCCACTGCCATTGGCATCTAAACATGCGGCAAGGGGCAGAGCGCTGAGCAGCAGATGAGGGATTAGTGTCGCCATATTGAGCAAGGTGCAGGGTGCCTAGGGTACGGGACTCACCCTTTTTGTGACAGCTACCAAAGCTCCCCCGGGGAGTCCGTTTTTAATCCAGTTAAGGTTGTCCCCACCCATGCCAAGTGAGGCTGTAGGCAATCCACGGATGCCGAAGCAGCACTGACAGAATCTACATACACATATTGTAACTTGGAAGTGTTCTGTGGCCTTTTCGTGTTTAGAGAATTTCTCTCAGTGCACAGTGGACACGGTGCCGCAATGAGGAGAGTCTGCCTGTTGTCTGGTGTTTGATGATGAGATTTCCCCACTGCGATTTGTGTCTATTTATGGAATGCCACGGGTTAAGGGTACAGGTAGTGGGCTGGCGCCACGCCGAAGGGTAAATCCCATGGAGATAAGCGTAAGACAGTTCTGTCCCACCCGAAGGCAGCTAAACACGTGAATGGAAAACCAAAATCCAGCAGAAAAAGTACCCCACAAACTGATTTGGGGCAAGGGACTATCTTTCCGTCCGATTGTGAGTTTACTTAAGGACTTTTTTCTTTGATTCGAGCGACTCTAATGTTGTAGACATTCCTCAACGTCTGATGGCATTTTATTTGCATTTGCAGGCAAAAACTTCAAATGAGTTTAGTTTTTAGTTGGGGTTCAAAAACTCTGCAAATTTCTCTAGAAATTTCTAACAATTTTGATTAACTTTCCCAACTCAAGTCGTGCCCAACCGCAGCAAACAACTTCAATTCAAGCCCTTTAACTTTTTGTTAGACCCTGTCCAAGGGCAACCCACTGGCCGGTGGCCTTTTGGCCACTCAGAAGTCGGCTTATAATCTTGACACTTTTCTAGTCTGGATAATTGCAGTTTGCTTCGTTGCGTTGACAGGAAAAGTTTTTTGTTTGTTTTCGTACGTTTTTCCCACTTAGCGTGGATTATCTTTTGCAGCAATTTTCTCTCCCACTTTTAGATATTTCTTGCAGTTTCGCTTTGGGTGCATGCAGCAGGGAGGCAACAGGCTACACTTTTGCCGAGAGTACGCAATAAAATAGAATACACTTTTCCATCAGCAGCAGCTCTTCGAGGCTCTGTGGCACATTAACGCCTCTGCAGTCAGGGGGAGGAGGGGGGGAGGGGTGAGGGGTGAGGCTCTTTCTGTTTTCATTTAGTTGAGTAAAATTATGCTAAGAACGGGGTAGGAGCCACTGCAATGGGAGCAGTGCCATAAATTACGCATACGCCGACGCATATTCCCGAATGGAATGGCCACGCATGCAAGGCCCTGTGCGGTCATCCACAGCAAGGGGGGGGCGGGTTGTGTTGGGTACTCCCACCACCCCCCTATGTCCGCTTCAAGTACTGGCCACTTACCTCGGGTAAACAAGCACAGCTGGATGAGGCAGTCCAGCCAACGAAGTTGCGTGCCGACCGCGCCGCTATGGGACCTGTATTTGGGCTTGTTGCTGCTCGATGCCATCGCCGCCAATTGGATTCACATGCTCATCCTCGCTCTTTGATTGTTAGCGATTGTTGTTCCCGTTAACGTTCCCGTTCCCGTTCCCGTTCTTGTTTTTGTTTTCTTTAACCAACGGGGGGCTGAGGGGGCTCACCGCACTGCAAGTCTCTTGAATTATCGAGCCCTTTGTCGCTGCACTTGTCCCATCAATATTTCAAATGCGCCCTTCAATTATCCTCGCACAAAACACACACTCACACACAGACACACTGAGGGAGACACAGCAAAAAAAAGGACAAACAAGCAAGCAAAATGCTATGCTATCGTATGGCAGCTTGAATTTCTGCAGGTTGACAAAATTGCGCGCCAAAAACTCAACACCGTTTTGATTTCGTTTCGGGCGATGTGGCAGGCAGTGCGCTGCTATTGTGGTGGAGCTGTCCAGAGGAGAGGTAGTGCTGCTCTCGACCATAGAGCGTATTATCAGAGGGCGCAAAATTTGGCTTCGAGCTTTTATAGCTGTCGAACAGCTGGTTGGCGTGTTCGAAAATTCGAACTTGTAGCGGCAGCGGCCTGTCGGCATGCCAAGCGGGCGACAGAAGAGCACAGCCAATGGGCGCGCATTTGAAATTGGTTTTTGGTTTATTTTCTTTTTGTTATTGCCGTTTCACCTTTTCAGTAGATCTATTGCGTATTGGGGAAAGAAGGCCTCAAGTGTAACAGTTGAAACAAGATTCCACTGGTATTCCATATTTATATTAGCTAGAATACCTATACTAAACTACATAAATATTTCTGAATGTGTGGTATAAAAACACCGATTAACTGAATGACTATTAGCGAAGAATAATAATTTCATCCTATCTGCTGGCATTCAAATTTAAGCGGCAGCGCTAATTGTTCGAGCACTAACCGTTTTCGGCTGTGTACGTTCGAAAATGCATCATGTGGCAACGCCAAGCCTCAACGGCCACTTCCATCGTATTTTGGCTGAGGCGTTTTTGTTATTTTTTAGTGTGTTTTAGAAAGTGAACTAAGAAATCACAAAAACTGCCTCGATCTCACTGTTACCCATTATCATCCCCAGGGACTGTTATAAACTTAAAAATTACGGGATATTTTAACTACGAAAGTCAGCTTCATGTATATTTACGGTATAACATATATTCAAGAATTTAGGGTATCGAAACTCCCATCACAACTTACATATGTACTTTGATTTCCGTATTTTACCATTATTAATTGTCATTATTGTCATTATTAATGTTTACAAGCAGATGGAAAAACTGAATTGTAAAATTAATTAATGAAAATAGGGTACACAAAATACCCATACTCTTATGCTATTCTTTATTGGTTGACCTTTTTAGTTTTAAGCGTAATTTGAAAGCAGTCCAGTAAAAGAAAGCGGTGAACACTAGTTAATGTGCTGGAGAATTGATTGATACATCGGATAAAATTAAAGTTTTAGCGATGAGATTTCTAACTAGCTGGTAACATTAAGTAGAACATCAAAATCAAGGAAAATGAATTAAGATTTACGGTGTATTTTTTACACTTTGGTATATTTTTGAGGGTTGTTCGGCATATTTGATCGATATATTCGATATATACGCGAAGAGCTGTAGGTGGCGGGCATTTTCGTGGATTGAAAAGGTTGGAGAGCTTCTCAGCTAATTGTGCTGCTCAAAAGACAACATTTTGTTTACATACTCTACATTAAACGGCACTGGAGCTCTAATCCGACATAAATTCTCCATGGTGCAGCAATGTAAAATTTGTAAAACTATCGCAAGACACTTCTCAATCAAGATATTTACATTTACTCGCATTTATAGCAACCGTTTTTTCCATAATATGCACAGGTCTTATTAAGATTCGACCTGAGTTTAGCAGATTTTGATTCAATCAAAGAAAAACGTTTTCAATCCTTAACATACCATTATATAGACCTTTTTCTTAACCAAACAGAGTGGAGAATGTGGCAAGACAACCTTGCCAGAGGAATTAGAATTGCCATTACCAGTCGTATAACCCAATAAGCGGTTAATCATTGGGGGTAAACTCACATGGTAGTAGGGATACGACCCAATAATAATAATATAATCATATAATCCATTTAGTTTTCACATTTCCTGAAGAGATTTATCTGCTTACACCGAAAGATCATTTTGTGGATAATCGCTACAAATCGTAAATCGATCCCAATCGATAGTCGATGATCTATCGATAGCGATACGCACAAAAGGTGCAGGAGCATCACTGCCCTGCCTCCTCCTACACCGAGGGTACAACATTACAAATGAAATTGTGTCCTTTTGGTGCAGCCGAATGCAGTGCCCCTGTCCCTGCTTTGGCCAGTGTGCAAATGCAGTCAAGTCAACAACTAGCATCGAAACAACTGGAAAGGGCCTCTTTCCTCCCTGGCAGCAAACACACACTGACACAGCAACAGCCGCAGAGTCACAGAGTCACAGAGTCACAGAGCTGGCACTCGATTCCCTGACTTTTGGTCCCACGCATGCGCCTGCAGAAGTAGCCCGTGTACGATTTAGGGCGGAAACGCTTTTCTGATGTAGATATACCAGAAATATTCTTACTCTTCTGCTGTTCTACTGTGGCGGTGGCTGTGCTGCTGCTGAGTGCTACGTTAAATCGCATCGAACGGTTTTTAAAAGCGGTCGCATACCACGGCACACACGGTAAGGCTCCACGACCTGGGCATTAGTTTTTGGGAGCGTTTAATAAACATCCAAAACGGTAACGGTAAGGTATTCCAGCCACAAACAAATAAACCACCGGCCCATTCGCGTTGTGCGTGTGTTCGTGTGTGTGTGTGTGTGTGTGTGTGTGTGTGTGTAGTGTGTGGTGTATGCCAGTGAAACTTATCACGGATTCCCACTTGCCACTTGCATTCTTCGTGCAACATATACATCTCTGTACATACCCCTCGGTACTTGGGGTACACACACTCACACAGGGAAGGGCCCTGGACCCGGGACCCGGAAAACCCGTATGGGGCGGCCCCAAGCCTGCTCCTCTTCCTGTTCCAGGTGTATAGAACATTTTGCGCTGCATCTTAATCAACGCCGCTGAAAACTCTGACAAATAGAGCACAGAACTACATCGTTTTTTTATATGTACGTGGATGTAAATGAATTTAAATTAAGTGCACGCCGCTACATACATTTTCACATGCAAATATATGTACATATGTATGTATGTACATATGTAATTATGTATATTCGCCAAAGAGCAGGCGACTGTGGGTGGGAGCTGGCTTCGGCTGCTGGTGTAAGTGCGGATAGAACGCCGCACCTAAATCTAATCTAAAATTCTTTCAGTAATCCGACACCAGCGCAACTATATGTACATACATATGTATTTGCATGCATATTTTATGTATAGATGTGCATTGAAAAGTATACCACAAATGCATATTAAATGTTTTCATCATGCAATCCCCAAATGCAAAACCATATTGGTTGATTGGCAGCCATCCTAATTGTGGGATCTTACTCGTGTATTTCCCATGCATATCGTTAGCTTAAACGTGTCGCGCGTCATGCGGCAGCGCCCCTTGGTAGGTCGGAGTCAGCCGCCAGCTCTTATCTGGAGATCAGATCGCCGCGATTCGACCGAATATGCTCCTTAAATCTAGTAAAATTCACAAGGGCGGATAAACTGCACTTATTTTGCATCAGATGATCTCGCACCGAAAGCCTTAACCTTTTCGTTCCCTCAATTTGCAGGCTCTCCCGATTAAAGGGCACACCTTGAAAGGGACAGAAAACTAGCACAAAATGTTGATACGCTGGAAGAGTAAAGATAAAAGTGCATCCGCAAATCAAAATGCCTGCGGCAGCAACAGTTCATCATCAAAGAAGAAACGCAAGGGGCGCGAAGGCGGTAAGTAGGCGTAGAACGTGAAGACAGTAGCCGTTACAGCGTGAGCGGGGGATTAAGAATCTCTTAACGCGTTCTGGCAGTGCTGCAAAACGACACGCACCACTTATCGATACTTCCTTCTATCGCCATCTCTTTCCAATCCAGAAGAAGACTGGCAAAATGAAAACAAATCCGGACGAATGCCGCCAAATGAGCAGGGTAAGCGAAATAATTAGTTAAACATATGTGTATCCTGTTGTTTGTTCGCCCACTGATCGGTGTGTTTATGTTGCACTTGCAAGGAGGCGGCGACGAACGACGACGCGCCATGAGACGCGACGATCCCAGGCGGCACACATTGGGCGGCGACATAATGGTCTACGGTGGCTCCCAGCATCCGCACGCACATCAAATGGCACCACAACAGCAGCGCGCCATGGACCTAGAGGTGCTGTAAACAAAACATACTTCTACATATTGCGCAATATTTGCAATGAATTGGTTTGAATATTCACAGATGAGCACACGCGCTCAAAAGAACAAAAAGAATCAGCCAATGCGTGGCTATGCGCCCGTCAATCAGGGCCCGCTCTTTGATGACGATCCGGGCATCATGTCCGAGGTGGAGACGGCCAGCACAGGATTTCGTCGTGGCGGCAAGCAGCGCTCCTCGCTGCCCGTTGTGCGCACCCCCTCGAAGACACTCGAGCGTCCGCTGGGCCTCGTCTTTCTGCAATATCGCTCGGAGACGAAGCGGGCACTGCTGCCGAACGAGATCACCTCCATTGACACGGTCCGTGCGCTATTTGTGCGCTCCTTTCCGCGCCAACTGACCATGTCGTACTTGGAGGGACCGAACGTGAAGATTTACATACACGACGCCAGCAAGGACATGTTCTACGAGCTGGAGGATGTGCGCTCGCATCTGCGCGAGATCCGCGATCGCTCTGTGCTGCGCCTCTTCGAGTCCACAGAGGTGGCGGCACCGCCGCAAATCTTGCCCGGCGGCCCTGGCATACCCCAGCCCCTGCCCCAGGCCCAGGCACCCGCCAACTGGGATCAGGATCAAAGCTACTTCAGCGAACCAGAATTCGATTCGGACTACAAGCACCAGCACATACACAAGTCCAAGGTGAGCACACAAGGGGGCCCCCGCAGCCTCATTTAAATAATCCTTTTTCTGTTTTATTCAATATCACCGCGTAGTTGCTAGGGTTTTGTGTTTGTGTTTCGTGTTTGTGTGGTGAAGTGAGGTGAGGATGCGGAGAGAGAGAGAAAAAGTTGGTCCATGTCCATGGGCGAGTCAAAGATCATTTGGGCAGTTGAGCGTTGACTCCCACATGGACATGCAAGCAGTAAGCAGGAATCACACACACACACACACACCGAATCCGAGACTCAATCGTATATACAAAAAAAAAAAAAGGGGGGGACTTAGCTAAAGAATGCCCGGGCACAGGTGTCGGCTAGCAACTAAAAGTTGCCGCAGGTGCCCACGCTGAGGCCCTTGAGTGCATTATTCATGTGCTCCTGCATCTCCTTCCACGCAAAGACAATGGCACCCTGGAAGGGCTCTGCATGACAACTGCTGCATATGGCCATGACGGCCTTCACTTCCTCCTCGGCGGGCTCCCGATCGTGCGTGCTGATCTCCTCCTCGAGGCTCATCTTGAGGGTCAGCTCCTGCTTGAATTGCTGGCCGCCGAAGTCGGCGAGTCCGTTGTAGATCTCGCCGGCATCGCCGGTGTCTGTGCCATCATCGACCACGGAACCATCGTCCAGCAGCACCAGTCCGCGCTTCTTCAGCTTCTTCTCATCTGCTGCTGCTGCTGCTCGCTTGAACTGTATGTGAGTCTCTGTCTCGTCGATGAACTGAACATTCGCCGAATTGCTTAGCATTTGGAAACGACTGCCCGTGGACTGCAGCTGCTGCTGCTGCTGCTGTGGAATGCCATTCTTTGAGGGAAGACCCAGCAGTTGCTGTGCCACCAGACGAGATCCCGCATTGATCTGTCCGTTCACAAAGTTTGTGTTGAATGTAATGGCCTGCTGCTGCTGCTGCTGTGCTGCATCGGATCCAGGAGCCGGCGCAGCCGATCCGTCGCTCGGTGGATTGGCCAGGTTGATGCGCAAACGTGTGGGTATCTGGCCACTGGCCAGCAGCGTGTGCATCGGCTGTGGTCGATTGATCTACAAAGAGAGAGAGAGACACAAAAATGTAAGCGGAATGTTTTGTGCGAGTCATCGACAGAGACACTCACTATGGGCGGAGGACGCACTGTGCTGGATACCTCCTGTCCTTCATGATCGAAATGATGCACGTGATGATGCTTGTGGTCACGATGGGCCTTGCCGGCGCTGAGGGCCACGCGATAGACCTGGACCATTGTCATCTCAAAGTGCAGGCCGTGGCTGACGTCGCCGGTGATGGAGTTGCCGCCAGAGCGTAGCTTTCCATTTGCTGGAATTTTATGGCCCACAAGCTGCGAAAAAAACAGAGAAGCGGACCGGCTATAAATTGGATTACAGCACCTCGTCGTTGTCGTCGTCATCATCTCATCATCGACAGCGCGACGAAAGTAAAAGCGTCGGGGGATTGCGCAGCTTCAGAGACTTTACTCGACTCGATCATTTTGCAATTGGCAGTAATTGGAGACGGGGCTGTGGCCAGCAGTTGGCAGTTAGCAATTTGGCAGTACTCACCGAGTTGTGGAAGCCACGCCCAATGCGTTCTGCCTTGAGCCAGGCCTGCCATTCGCCCGTCTTTCCATTCCATGAGGTGCACATGTGGTGCCACTGGCGCATTTTCAGCGGATAGTTGAGTCTTCATCAGGCATAAACAGAAATAGAAACCAAGCAAGAAAATCATTAACACGATTAGTCAGTTGGATTGATCGATGGATGTCGATGCAATTGGATCTACGACGGCGACGGCGACGGCGACGACGACTCACCTGTACATTTGCTGACCTTTTATGGCCATCGAAAGGAAACTGGAATTTTGCGCATTCGCGACCCAGATTTGTATCTCCCGCGGTTCCTTGCCAGCTGTGTGTGTGGATGGATGAAAGAAGTGGATCAGTGGTTTGTGGATTGGCTATGAAAATGCCATGAATGGCAATGGACGGTGATTGTGAAATCACAAGCAATGATGCTGCAATGGCAAACGATGCACACAGAGACCGGCTTGCACTTGGAGACAGAACGCAGGATCAATGCTGCAGCTTAAGCCTCTGCCAACAAAGCAGGAAGCCAGCCCCGCCGCCGCCAGCGTTGCACAATCAGCGTCTGGCTGTAAGGCTTGTGGGGAAATCCTGTTAGTCGTCGTGTTTAGCATGTGATATGCATTTTTATAGTAATTATGAATCATTCAATGCTGTGACTAAACAATTTCCTAGCGTCTGTCTGTCTGGGCTGTGCAATCCGGAAGCGCCCGGCTTTGCCAGCTACTTGAATTGAATCTTTCAAATTATGTCAAATGCTAAAGTCAGGCACTGAAACAGTGAACAGTGGACAGTGGACAGTGGACAGCGGTACAGCGTGCCAACGGGCCGACGACATCCCATCCAACTGGAAACAGGTAAATTATCGCCTTATGTAAGCAGCGACCGCAACGACAACAACAACAACAACAGTGGCAGTCGCAGCAGCAGCAGCTATGAGGCAGCTGTTAAATTGTCAGATATGAAGATGAAGAAAATCAAATTCAAAATCAAAATCTTAATCTTATCTGAAAGGTAGTTAGTTGCCCACACAATGACGGCCATGCCCCGGCAACACCCAACAACCGGACACGACCCCAAAAGCCACAGCAGCAGCAGCATCAGCATCATTATTGACCATCAGACTGGCTCTTGTTTTTGGAGCTCGTCAACCTGTCGTCTTCAGTCGACACAGTGGGGCTTAGTCGGTGCGGCGACTTGCATCAGGAAGTTGGCTTCCTTTCACTTTCACAGTCAGAGTCACAGCAGCAGCAGCAGCGGCAGTCTGTCCCCCCACAGGCCAGGTGCAAGACAGCGACGCCGCCGGAGCGTGGCCCACAAATTTCGTTGCGCACAGCGAAGGTCTCTCTGCTGACTGCTGACTGCTGGCTTTGTGGTGGGGCATCAATAGACTTACGTCTATTGCCCCCGTGCCGAGCTTATATAACAGTTCGTTTGGTCACTCATTGTGTGTGTTGGGGAGGGCCTGGGCTCGATGAAGCAAGTCATGGTGAGAGGCTTTAAACCCGAACCAACCCTACGCCTCGCTGCTCTACGCTACATTCATAAATCCAATCTGGAGCTGAAGCTGATGCTGACTCACCCTCGTAGGTCAGGAGGACATGATCCCCACTGTGATTGGTGAAACGCATCCAGAAGCAGAGCGTAAACTGATCCAGCTCGGGCAGCAACGGACTCCCGTACTCCACCTCTCCGTCCTGATTGAAGGCAAACTTTTTCACACTGCACCGATCGGAGCCGTAGAGCGGTGAGCGCGTAAAGGTTAGCTGTGGCTCCTTATGCGCCTCATCCTCGATGCTGTAGGACTCGTACTGATCCTCCACATGGTCACCGAACGTAATGGGATGACCCAGCGACGATGAATGCTCCACACCATTCACGATGGCAGAGCGAGCCAGAAGTAGTTCATCCTCGCCGCCTCCTACGCCCGCTCCGCCAACCTCCTCCGAGTCCTTGCCAGCACCAAATTGGGCAAAGCTTGTGGCCAGCTCGTGACTGCTGCTGGCAGATCCCGGATGGGATTGCTTTAGGCTGTAGGAGGCTGTGCTGCTGCTGCCACTGCCACTGCCCGATCCCGAGGAGACTGCAATTGGCTTCCAGGCAAACGCCAAAGGGCACACACTGCACAGCGCAAGAATTGCGAGGAGGAGAAACATCAGTTCCGGTGCCGCTTGACCACGGATATGCCTCATTGCTGTGTGTCAACTGTGTTGGAGGGAGCTCTATCGGGGTATATCTTTGGACGAAAGTTCGATCGGGAAACGTCTGCTTGCCGCGATGGATCGCACTTCACTAATCATCCACGCATGCGCCAAAGCCAAGTTAAGTTGCGCCGAAAACCGAGCCAGGCAGGCAGGCAGCCAAAGAGCGGGGCAGGCTGCCTGGCTGGCTGGCTGGCAGCACCGTTTGTCGAGTGTTGAGTGTAGAGCAAAGCTCTCAGCAGCAGCAGCAGCAGCAGCAGCTCTCGGTCTCAGTTGTAACAAATTGTTGTAAAATTGTTGTATTGAAATTGAAATTGAAACTAAAACTGGTTGAGGTCTGACTGTCTGCTGCTGCTGCTGCCATAACTGGTGGCACAGCGAGTGAGCCAACGCCAGCCGATAGACCACTTGCACTTGCCGCTGCACAGAGCACAGAGAGAAAAAGAGAGTTGCTGGGGGGTGCAGCGGGTTGACGTCCCACTGCCACTGGATGATGCATTCCATAATTGATATAATTTGCAATCCCGCTAGAATGACAATCCATTGTGCGGCACAAAGCTTGAATTGTTTTGACATGTCCATGTCTGGCGTCTGGATTGATGAATCGCCTATAAAAATCGCATATCTAAAAGTCATTGAAAAATCCTCAATTTGTGCGCTTGACCCAGTGATCCTCGAAGCTGAGTTCATTGAAAACAGGGAAAAGCTTTCATGCTCAATGGAATTATTGCCAAAAATGGACAAAACCAAAAACAATTTCGTTGTTAATGGACTGCTGGGTGGGGTCAAATGGCAATTAACGGGCATTAATCTTCAACTTCAACAATTTTGGCGGGCGTACAATACGTGGTTGTACGTGGTGTGGACAGTTGAAGAGGGAAGAGAAACTACAAATTGTTTTGTTGAATATTTTGCTACTTGAACGAAGGCCAATTGGCAGCGTGAAGCACACTGAAATTCCCTTACTCATCGTGCCTCTGCCCAAAGCCTTTTGGCACTTCAAATAACAATTTACGTTAACCATCTTTTTGTGTCTTTTGTCTTACAGATTGGCAAACAGCCGGCGCCCTACTATGTGGGCTCGTCGCAGACCTTGCCACGCGGCATGTATGGCTCAGAACGCAACAAAGTCTCAATGGGTGCGTAGTGTACGAATACTCGAATTTCTATAACCCAATCATCCATAGGGCAAATGTCTGTCTATTATTTACTCGTTAGTAACTTGTTTCCGTTTATGTTTTGTTTAAGTTTTTACTTGTTTTTTCATTACTTACTTTATCATTTTGATCGTTGATACTTTGCTCCTGCTCCCTGCTGATTTCTTTTAATTAATTTCTTAAATATATTTCTATGTTTTAGTTGGCTTATTCTTTCGTGTCTCCTACATTCGTAACTAGTGTAACTTTCTATCTAAATATGAATCATGTTCAATTCATTAACCCAATACACACACACACACACACACACACACACACAAACCAAACATCACCATTCAAAAAATACTCTGTAAAGGAGCGCCTGTGAAACCACTCAGATCAGTCAATCCAAGGGGTAGCATGGAACCCCTGTTTCCCTATACCCAGGATCAGTTATACAGCATTCCAGGTACATACACCAGCAAATACTTCTCGCTCGTTCTATGTTCTTTTGTCAACAACAAACAACAACAAAACTTAAGCTAAGAATCGAATACAACGCTTTCTATGTACCACAAGACTTTTACATTTTCCACACTCTTCACTTTCCATTCCACATTGGCATTTTGTGCTTGCGTTTTGGGTTGAACACACGAACAAACGATCAATCAGAGAGCATTCTTTTTAATCACTTCCCCCATCACTTGTATTTAGAATTATTATTTTTGCTTTCCCCCCTCTGATTTATTTTTCTAAATTCTAACAAGAAATGTGAACCATGCATGTGACACTGTGTAGACCTTGAAACAATTACTATCTGTACTATGCGATAAACAATTTTGCAGACGGCTATACCAGCTCTCCGGAGCGCAGCAGCCGCGGCAACTACGAGGAGCCCTACTACAGCCAATATGGGACAAGGGGCGCCGTTGTGGCACCCATCATAGACGAGGAGCAGAGGTGAGCACCAGAGTTTATGCTTTGGTTCTTTGAGTTTGCTAATTCTACTAATTATTTTGTTTTGTTTTGATAGCGATGTTGCCCTCACCGAGGATCAGTATGCATTGTACGGCATCAAGGTGCCGGGTCCCAATCGGATGGCGCATCGCGGCAATCAGATCTACGATCCCTCTAGGTGAGCATCGCCCAGCGTTGACCGCGCACCGCATTCATGTAGCTGGCATAGTCCTGCTGCAGCAGGATGCTCCTTATGGGTATCTCTCCCACTCCCAGGGAGCTGCGCTGGCTCCGCTTACTCCGCCTGTAGATCTTGATGCGCTTCACATTGCCATTGTTCGCGGTGCTCGTGGCGGTGGCCACCGGATGGAAGTACGTGGTGCCCTTGCTCTTGATGGCCTGAACGATCAGGCAGAGCAGATAGCCACCGAAGGAGAGAAAGGCCAGGGCCGTGATGCTAACCTGGAACAGTGTCTGCAGCTTGGTGGGCTTTGGCTCCGTCCAGGATGGTGCCGTGTGGCTTTGCCAAGGTGCATGGAAGCCAGTGCTTTCATGTTCACCACTGCAAAGAGCAAATACACGAGAGAGAGAGAGCTAAGCAAGGACTTGGCATCGGCCACCTACCGATCGGCTGCCATCAAGGCCATTCGCTCGGGCGCTGCCTTCGCCTCGGGACAATCTGCCGCCTCCGTGGCAACTGCACTTTCGCGTGGACTGGCACTGGCACTGGCACTGGCACTGGGCGTGTCTTCAAGCACCCCCATTCGCTCCATGGACTTTTTCAGCATCAAAAGTTCGTCCACTTGAAAGTTAGCCAGACACTGGGCGAAACGCTCGGGCGTGCTGGTCACTGGGATTACAATTTGTTGCGCTTACAAGTGGAGTGCAGGGCCAATCAAGTATCGCATTTACATACCACTGCAATAGGCCATGGTGCTGCTGTTTTGTCTGTTGTCTGAGTTGTTCTTGTACTGGTCCCCACCGGCAGTCGACTGTCAACGCAGCCAAACTGAGAAAGCGGTGCGACAAGAGCTCGAACATGGAGCGTTGTCATTGCGTGTGCCAGATATGCATCCAGCATTTGTCAGTGTACTTGAGGCTGGTGGAAAGCAAAGCTTTTTGCCAGCAAATGCCTTCGGCAGGGTAACTGCCAGTGCCATCAGTCTAGCAGCATTCTATGCTGGCTTTTGGTTCACGCTTCCATGAGCAAAGTGCGCCGCGTTCCGACTTTGATTCCGGCGCTGCCATGTCTTGTGGCTGGGCTTTACGACTGCGAGACTGCGCAATTGGAGCGACGGAAGTGTGGCCCAGTAAATGTGAATGCGAATGCGAATGCGAGTGCGAGTGCGCGCCATGGAAACACGCAATACGCAATAATTTGCGAGCCAAGCCTCGAACCAGTTTTAATGGATGTCTTTTTTTTTGGGTTGATGTCTCTGTTTTGCAGGCCCGAGGAATTGCATCGCATACGCGTGGAGCACATGGAGCGACAGTTGGCCAATCTGACGGGATTGGTGCAGAAGGCTTTGGTTAATCAGAATCCACAAATTGCACCACTGGCGGTGCCCACGCTGGACTCCAACTATCTCGTTGTGCCATCACAGTCGCAGATGCAAGGTATGTAAGAAGCAACCACAAACACGATGAGCAGGAGAAGCAGAAGGAGCACACGCATCCTGCACATGAACGCGTCCTGCGTCCTGCTTAAATGCTTCCAACCCCACAGATACCCTCAGATATTTGTATTTACATTTACTTGATGTGCTGTCTCGCTTTGTTTCTCTTTCTTTCGTTATCGTTATCGTTGTCGTTTTTGTTTCTTTTCTTTCTCTATTTGGTGCACAGCAAATGGCTCCGGGGACGACATGTATATTCGGGAGAAGGCTCCCAAGTTAGGCAAGAACTCGTGCCGTAAGTGTTCAACGCTGCTGCAGCTGTCGCTTGCTCTCTGGCCAACATTATTCCATTTATTTTGCAGAGAAATCCGTGTCCTTTGAGAAATCAGTATCCTTTAGCGATGACATACAGGGCCACAATCCCAAGTCCCATAATCCAGTACATGCCGGTAATTAACACGACAAAATGTTGCATACAGGCACACCCTTGCAGAGGGTATTGTGAGTCTAAGTACAAGTCATTTTGCTCTTCTGTCTGTCTGTCTGTCTGTCCACTCCGATTGCCACACCCAAACGAGAAAGTTTCACTTGGAATGGAACGTCTTTGGTTGCATTTTGAAAGCGTTTACCTAAATCTCACTCAAATTTGCACTCAACTAAAATCAGTGAACGTAAAAGATCTAAAATCTAGAATCAGCAAAGCAATCAATCTGCAAGGGAAGAGCTTAAAAGCTTCGACAACGAAGCGAAAGCTAGTGCTTGGGTCCAAGAAGATGGTGCCAAATGCCAAATGTTTTCCCCTTTCTCTTGTCACGCAACTGAATTGTGGAACTGTGAAACGGACAGCTGATACGAAACCTACAAAGCCGGCAATCAAGTCGTCCACCCTACCACGCACATCATCACAAGGTAAGAGCAACACCTCCACATCCCCCCACATCGTCACCAGCCAAGCACAATCACCACTCTGGCACTCCACCACTCTTGCTGTTAGTCCGATAATCCTTGAATTGAACGCTCAACGTTAAACATCTCCACAGAGCGTGATCGCCTGAAGCCCCCTCCGCCGCCCAAGCCGATTGTGCTGGCCCAGACGGCGCATCCCAACTACCGTGCGGACATAACGCTGGCCCCCGAGGTCTACAATCATCTGCGTGGGCTGCAAAAGAAAGCCAAGGATCTGCGCATGGAGGTGCGCACGCTGCGGCGTCTCTCCCAGGCTCAGGCCGTTGCCGTGCGGGAGGACATCAAGGGCACATTTATGCGGATTCGGGCCACGCTGCTGGCGAGCAGCGGCAGCTTCTGGGGCCATCAGGGGGATCAGGATGCCACGCGTGTGACGCGCGAGGAGGAGCTGTACAAGCAGGAGGTCATACGCCTTGAGAAGGATCTCAGCGATCTTGAGGCCTCGGTGGAAAATCTGCGCGGTGAGGTAATCAATCGGCGTACACGAGTCAACATGACCGCTGTCGAGGACATGGCTCTGGTGTTAAGCCGCGCCAGGTAAATACACACACTCAGCCTGCCGCAAGTTGTTGCAACTTTTGCGTTTGTTGTTGTTGCAGCAAAACGGTGGCCGAACTCAAGCTCAAGTTTCCATCTCTATCGAATGGCCTACGCTGCATTCTGTCCAGCGAAATGGAGAAGGTTGTGCGCGAAGAAAAGTTCCTCAAAGAAGAGCCCGATCGGTTGGAGTCGGCGCTGCGACGCTGCAAGAAGCTGACTGGCACACTGGTGACGCTTAAACGGTTTGTAGCCGCTTCCCTGCGCTGTCTTCCCTCTTCCCTCTTCCCCCTTGTGTCTTGTGTTTGTTAGAGCCATGGCTAATGTGTTGCCCACATTCCACTTTATCCCATTTATACCATCAATCCATAGCTTGGCTAGCGTGCAGGAGCAACGACTGCCGCCCAATGAGCCGGCCATTAGCGAAGAGCCACCCAGGTCTGCGGACATCTCGGCGCCCGATAAGGTAAGTGAAACAGGACGCAAGCGGAAGAGAACGAAAGCGAGAGACGATCCCCCGTTGTGCTGAGACAGTAACACAAAGAGAGAGCGAGGGAGAGTTAGTTCCACAAGTCCAAGTCCAAGTTGAAGAAAAATTGCCATGCCCACATAACCATATATCCATATCCATATCCATACTTTTATACATGCCTATATTGACTATATTATATGGAAGAACATTTTGTTTCCACTACTAATTCAATCGCAGAGAATAGCATTTCATACAACAAATAGTTCGCTTACGTCCTGCCCGTGGATCGAGTTTTGCTATGCGTTCATTTTCGAAACCAACTCTCTCTCCGACACCACCACAAACAAATCCTGTAGAATGTCCAGTCTGTTGGTCTGTCCTTCTGTCTGTTGCATATCCAGGGGGAATCCTAATGTGCAGTTTAGTGCTGAGCTCATCCAACCAAGAACATCCTCGAAACCACATCCAACTCTAACGTGGCGATTTAATACGAATACGAATATCCACCCATACGAATACGCATACGCATACGAATAACGAATAAAAATAACCAAACCACAGAGAAACCACCTACATAGTTGTGTATCGAAACTGAAATGACCTTGATTACTTAACACTTATTCGTTTGTAGTTTTGGTTTATATTTTTTGTGCGATTACCTTATGAATAAGTTGCAATTGGCTGTTGTTTATAATAAATAGTGTTTTGGTTCATCTATCATTTCACACCCAACCAAACCCAACCCAACCAAACCAAACCCAACCAAACCAAACCAAATCAAATGAATCAACCATTCCATGAGAGTTTCAAATCAATTCGAATTCAATTACTCAATAGAACGAGCAAAAATATGTTTTTAGTTGAGAGAATGTTACGCGGCAAAAGCAAAAGCGCACCGCTAACAAAAACACCAACGCGATATATGTAGCTTAAATACATAGATGCCCCTCTTAGTCCCGAACTCCCTGCCACCCCATCATCCTGCAAGCTAACTACTCTACTGTACTGAGCTTTTGCCTTTGTTGGGTCTTACATTCAATAAATTAGGTATTTGAAACACACACAGAAACAACCAACCAACCAACCAACCAACCAACCACCACCACCCACTGAAACTATTAAAATAACAGTTGCAATTGGCAAATGGTCAAAAATAATTAGCAAATAATTATCAATACCATATACAATATAATCCAAGTATCAATCAAGTCTCAATCCTACAACAATCACATCACCATATGAGCCGACAAAAGCCAAACAGACAAAGATACAAAAATATATACCCACAAATATAAATAAATAACAAAAAAAAAAAACAGAAAAACAGAAAAACAGAAAACCAGAAACAGAATCACACAAAAGTTGAATTTATCCAAAGCTTAACGTCTTATAAAATGAGGTTTACCTTCGTTTTCTTCTTGTTCTTGCCTTTTCTCAAACATTTTTTGATTATCGTTTCCCAACAACAACTCTACAACCCACATAGTTTAACTGGCGATGGAGTTCAAACTTCAAAGAGGCAATTACTGAGTAATGACTGAAAAATCCAAATATAAAGACAAATTTTACAAAAAACATAAAAAAAAAAAATAATTAAAATTAATTTTTTAATTGTAAAATCCAAAAAAACAACAACCCGTTTTAAGAAAAAAAAAACAAATTAAATGAAAAAAAATTCATTAAAAACTAAGTCAATTTTCTTTTTGCTAAACATAATTTGCTCTGCATTGAACATACTAGTTTATATTTTGTATACTACTTACTACTGCTATAAACTTCTAACTAAAACTAATACTCGTACTAAAAACTCAAAACAAACCAAAAACCAAAAAAAAAACCATATAAAAAAAAACTCATCAAAGCTATCCATAAGCCACCAGAAAAACCAGAAGAAACTCACCCACAATCTGAAATCTGAAATCAGAAAAACTGAACCACTGCAACCTTCTTCTCAGCCTGTATACCATGCCTGTACCATGTATACAGTGTATGCTATATGTATGTGTACCGATTTATACCTCAATATTAATGTATTTGTATCGCAACATCTGTGTGTGACTGACTGTGTGTGCTCACCATTTAAGATTCCCCCCTTTAAAGTCCCCACTTAACCCCTTCCAAAAGGAGAACCACTTCCATAAACCCACCAACCTCAGCCCCGAACTCTGAACTCTGAAACCTGAAACCTGAACCCGCTTCCTTTTCCGCTCTCCCGAATGCGCTCGCAACACGTGTCCGTCCCTCCACCCACCAGCCAGTGAGTAATCATGGAGTAAGCTTTCGAAAAGGATCATCTACTGCATACAATGTACATAGTTAGGAACACTCAATCCAAATGCCAGGCAGGAGAAGTCTGATGAGACAAATGCAAATAATAATCTTAATCTGTGTTTTGCTCTCCAAGCGCTAAATGTTTTCAGACCGTAAACATTACAGAGTCATGTTCAATAATCAAATTCATTGGCTTTAATGCAGATGGGCAGCATCTCTAGCACCTCTAGCAGCAACCTCGAACCTCTGTCAAGCACTGCTGTTGCCTAGAACCTTCCTGTGTACTCCATCAAAGCTCTGCCAAAAACAGCAATCCTATTGTGATGCGGAAGAGATGCGCAGATAAGCTCAAAGCAATTATAAACCAATGAACCAATGAATGAAGGGAAGCTGGGGACCATGTCGAATGCATAGAACAGGAAGAGGCACACATGCTAGAGGCAAACAAACATACGATACGATACGATAAAGACACCAAACACAATATGTACTGGCCCAACCCCACCGTCTTGGTTAACGTTCATTAAGTGTTTAATGTTTTGTATGAATCAAAATGGAATCCACTCCTTGCGCTGAGTCGTAACACCACACACACACACACCCACACACACGCAAACACACTCGTACATTCGAATCTATTTAATTTAATGATTTTTAATGATACTTTTGTAGTTGAGAAGAGCGCATATGTGTGTGTATATATATACAAATTAGAGAATATGTATGTATGTATATGTATGTACCCTTGCTTATGTATGTCCACACACAGCCAATCTCCCAGTCCCAGACCCATCGAAACATCACCTGAAAACCGAACCTAACCAATCCGAAACCGAAATCCCCTCAACCCAAAATCTGTAACCATTTTAGCTATTAACTATTAAACTCCTAATCAGACAATCAAGCGGCCAATTGAATTGCAGTCAAAACAAAACAAAGAAAAGAAATGAAAAAAAAGCAACCAAATATATGCAAACAGTCATCACTGTTCAGTCACTGTTCTCACTCATCGATTGTTGTCTTTGAAGTTTCAACCATCTATCAACCCAATCGCCCTATCAACCCATCATCAATCAAGTCGAATCCAAACGGAAATCAATCTTAAAGCGTGTTCCCCCTCTCACACTCATTTAAGCATCAACACTTGACACTCAGAGATATTTGTAATGAGGCGAACAAAATGGTTATAAAGAACTGACTATTAATGCTTCATCTACTACAAAACAAAACAAAAAATGAACCTGCATACTCGTACCTATAGGCCACACACACACACACACAGAACTTTCTCATATTTACATAGAAGACTTGTATTATTATTCTGCATTCTGCATTCGAAATATCGGGGTACAATTTCGTTGTTTTTTTTTTAATATATTTATGATTTTGGTTTTGTGTTTTCTGATTATTTTGTTATTTAGCGCTTCTCTTTTAGTCACCTCCGCTCCTCCATTTGACCATTCGATAGCACACATTTCCCCATCCCAGTCCCTATGTTTGCAAACAAATTTAGGATCCAATGATGATGATGATGCAATTCTATGCAATGCAAAACCCCACATTCTGATATCCCTACCATATATAGAGAGACCATTCCCAACCTTTGTACAATGCTTAATCGAATGCTTGCCCATAAACTTAACTGCAGTTATGGCCTTTATATATGTCTTGTGATTTATATACTTGTGATTATAAATATTTATTGAATTTTCGTATCGGCACTGCATGATTTGGTAGTTTCCTCTAATGCCACTTGCTGCCACTGCCACTGCCAGAGGCACTGCTGCTGCTGGCCGCACTGTTTACTCTATTCTTTTTCGTTTGTTTTAGCTTAACTGTATGTTTCATTGATGGGTTACTACTGTATCAGATATGTGTACATGTACTACTACTACTACTTATGACCAATATCTTTTGCGAGAATATGATTGTGCCATAAGAGTACGTAATTGCCATATATGTATTTATATGTGTGGTGTTATTCACTTCTTATGTACATACTTAACCTAACTACTATACGTTTGATGCACTTTAATGCCCTTTTCTTTCACTATCATTATTTCTCTCCTCTCTCTCTCTCTCTCTCTCTCTCTGTGTGTGCGTGTATGTTATTGTAGCCAATCCCAACACCCAGGATGGGGTCGTTCGCTATCAGCGGGGGACTCGCACCCGAAAACGCACTCGATGCTCTGCTAGACGAGCTCAAGACATTCTCCAAGCCCATAGCCCAACAACAGCAGCAGCAGCAACAGCAGCAACAGCAACAGCAGCAACAGCAACAGCAACAATACGAGGTAAGAGCATCATTAAGCAGCAAGAAAATATCTACACATCGTCTGACCTGAAACGGAACTCAAATGTCCCAAGTCTCTTCCTGTAGATTCGCCCCGAAGATTCGGCATCTGATGAAAGCGCTAGCGCTGAGGCCGCAGTACAAAGCACCGTCACCACGCAAATATCGCAGGCCCGTCTCTACACGGAGGCCAACATCAATATGCAACAGGCAACCACCAGCAGCATGGTCATTGCTGTGGCCACCGGCTCTGTGCCAGCACAACGAGGCGTGCTCACCCATCAGCAGTCACAGTCGCAGTTGCAGCTGCAATCACAACAGCAGCAGCAGCAGCAGCTGCAGCAACATCAACATCAGCAACAGCTCATGGTGCACACAAATATGGGCAGCTTGCGGCGCCTTCATTCCTATCCCAGCGAGTCGGACAGCGAAATACAGTTACCACCACCCACTGGGCCACGACCCAACGATCCAACTCTGGCCAATGGTGGCGGGATCGGCATCGGCACTGGCACTGGCACTGGCAGCAGCAGCAGCAACAAACCACCCGTACCCGAGCGAAATGCTGATCTGATAACGAAAGTGGGCCACAAACGCATACCGCCACCACCACCGCCACGCACCAGCTCACGCAGTCCACTGGCCAGTCCAACCAGCCCAAATGTGCCACAGAACATGGCTTCCGCACCAGCAGCAGCAGCAGCATCAGCAGCAGCAGCAGCAGCGGTAGCGGCAGCAGCCAATGCTAATTCTATTGCCCACTCAAATGCCAATGTCAATTCAATTGGAATCGATACGTCGGTTGTCGCCAGTGGCGACACATCAAGCGGCGACAACTCAAGTGGCAATGAGTCCGGCAACGATCATGTGCAACGCCAGGTGGCACTCGAGATGCGCCACCAGGAGTTACTTAAGAAGCAAAAGTTGCTGCAAGAGCAGTATCAGCGTTTGCAGAAAATGAGCAAGCTTCCGTCGGTCGATGTTACCTGCCCATCGTCGCAGGACATGGCTGCTGGGGCAGGCGGACATGGCGGCAATAATACGTTGCGTAAGCTCGGCAGCGAGACAAATATTCAGCAGAAAATCGCTGCATTGAGCTTGGCCTGTGAGGCTAGTGGAGCCGCGGCTGCGGCGGCGGCGGCGTCGGCGTCGGCGTCTGCCGCGGCGGCTACCAATGGTGTGTTGGTCAGTGATGCTACGAGCGGTGTGATCGGCGGCGCTGTTGGTGGTGGAGTAGTCGGGTCGTCTGGTGCGGTCGCTGCTGCTGCAAACTCTCAACACTCACAGACAGCCACAACGACCACCAAGCAGGTGTACGAGACGGAGATACTTTAACACAACTGGAAATTGGCGTGGAACGAAACAAAAATTGACATTTAATCATCACATCAGTCATTTTGGTGGCAGTCTCGTCTAACCCGAATCTATTCCCATACGCCCGTGGTCAGATCTATCAGTCTATCCCCAGCTACTACGGCTCAAATAATTTCACGTCCATCAACCAATGAATGGAGGCACTAAACCCCGCATTACCCGTAATGTGTAAGCATGGGCAGTAGCCGCCTTACCCACAGCCCACAGCCCAGTACTTGTATCTAGCAGTTAGCAGCAGTTTCATTTTCGAACAAACATAAATGTATAATGTGCATGCGATCGATGTATGAGCGAACGTGTTAGGTGTTGTCAAAATGAAAAGGAAAACGAATACGAACGAATTTGAATCGAAAATCAAAACAAAAAGTACTGTAACACACATACATATATGTATGTGTTCGTGGAGGCAACAGGCCACCCACCCCCCAGAAGATCAATGTTTTTATTTATGCATTTTTATGTATGTTGCCCACATCTGATGTACTTGCTGTATGTCCCCCCCCCCCCCACATTGTTGTTGTTCCGATGAAATCGCACATAAGCTTTATGAACATGAATGAGATAACCCCCAAAATGAGAGCACGAGTATAATGCACCAGCCTCTGTCCGTCTGTCAGTGAGCAAGCGAGGGCAGAGCAGAGCAAAGAGACGCAGCTGAGCGGAATGGAACGGAGCGAAGAACGAAGAATCCAAGCAAGCGCTAAGCTTCACAGTATATCCGAGCAGATATCATAATCAGAATCAGATTTGCATGCATATTTTAATCTGTGTCCTGTGTCTGTGTTTAGATGTTAATGTAGCCAATGTAGCTAGCTGTCTTAGCACTCATTTAGGCCAGGAAAGGACGCATGTTCCCACACACACACACACACACACAGCCGTACACGTAGTACACACAGCAATTCCTCATCCAAAACGTATATACGCAAGGCACAGCACGGCACACAAGAACACACATTATAACTAATAATTATTATGCATATGTATGTACAGGATCTACGTATGTATGTATGTACGTTACAAATATGTCGAAAAAACAAAAAGATTTTTATTATTACCTTGGCATGGGACGTGAGACTGATAGTTCTATATATATATAGCTCATCAAGATACAAAAACGAAAAAACAAACAAAAAATAATGAAAATATTTTACTTATTTTTGTTATAGAAGGCAACTAGCTAATTTTATCCCAATATATACGAGTATATTAAAAAACAAAACAAAAAAGAAAACATCAGACACCATACACCAAACCAAACCAAACCAAACACCACGCCACAAATACTCCTTCCAAAAAGGGCCTTAAGTTGGATCAAGATCAAGATTTGGAATGGGTGTGGCCTATTTTGGACTACCAAAAATGTTATTTGTTTAACGATGATGCGCCTATCAAATGGGCAACACATATGTAAAAATGTAACCGAAGGCATTTACCGCATTAAACCGCAACATACCGTATGGAATGTGTGTTGAGTCTGTCCATATCCGGACAGACCGGACAACGCCGATACTTTTTGAATAATTTCAATCAATCATTCCTTATCGTTTTTAATCGTGATCAGGCGGTTCGGGTTAAGCCCTGACTGCATATCTTTTTTAGCAAATGAAAATGTTTTTTGTTTTGTTTTTTAAATAGTTAATTGAGAATTGTTCACCATAACACCCTAGCATGCCTGTACGTGCATGGCGGGGGGTGGGCTCATAGGGTCAATGGGATGGTTATATCTTGTGCACAATCATAGATTTTTGTATTGTACGTGTTCTTTCAGTATTACATTTCAGTATTAACGAAAGTTTATTTACAACTTATACTCATAGTATAACACACGAATTAAGAGAAATTTGTTGCACCTAAACCAGATTCAAATATGGATTATGTATCTATCAATTACGAGTTAAATATGTAATACACAAATCATTCCCCATTATCATTGTTCGATTTTTCGATGTCTATGAATAAGGGAGTATGCAGAGCGCAGCGCCAATTTCTTTCCTTCCCTAATTTTGTTTTGTTTTTCGTGAAAACGGAATCCAACGTCAACGAATTATAAATCCGTTTTCAAGCGTGTGTGTTAGCATAAGGAAGAACTCAATCGAAAATACATAGAAACACTTTACAAGTATAACTGATACTCATGCTATATGATAAATGAATAGATCTATGATATGTATGTCTGTATATCCAATAGCTCAAAGTGCACACACAGAGAGAGACAGAGAGAGAGCAAAGTGTGTGAGGCTCTGTGTTTTTTCTATTATTTAGTACCCCCATCCCAACTTAGAAGCTACTGTGCAATAGACTTGATTGCAAGAAGACTCAAATGCCAAAACATTGAAACCTTAAGGTGCGCCGCTCAAGACATTACATATACACATACACACACATATATACACTAAAGACAAAAACATTTTCTACTTAAGTTAGTGGATTTATATAAATATTTATTTTGGCGGCATTCGACGAATATGTATAACATATACAGCATATATAGGATACATATGTATTAACATGCAAACAAAAAGAAAAAGTCACGCAACGAATACAAAAGAAACATTTAAAAACAAATTATATATACATATGATGACTACGGAGATAATAAATAATGACACTATGTAAAAGGTTTACGCGTTTAAAGGTCCCTAATAACACACGAAATCGAGCATAATTAAGTACCTATAGTTAATCCTCCCCATATGAATGTGAATGTGGCAAAATCAAATTTAATGATGGTATTATATGTGCACTGTACACATAATTGTATTCCTTATAAGGCACATTCCAAACTCTACACCCCTACACTCCATTCCACTCACTCAAACGGAAATGTACATCCCTTCCCACACACCAACACACCAACACACCACACACCCACACTACACTCCAAATTCGCTCTTCTATTCACCATAGGCAGAAGCAGGTATGAAGAACAACTTAAAGGTGGTAGAGGAAATGTGAAAACTTATAAAAGTGCGAAGAGGATTGCTGTATTGAAAGAGTTCAACAAACAAAATGAAGTGCGTATTTTTTTCTTAATACTAATTATAATATTTAAAATCACAACAAACCACAACAATAAATATCATTCGTAAAATGGACTCTTAACCCGACTCTTACTCGTGACGTTTGATTTATTTTAAATGGCTTGGATTAGACTTGTAGGGGACTTGGGAAATGTTTCCAATTACAAATTTTAATGAAATCAAAAGAGTTTTCATTACATATACATATGTGTACACTCCCTCCTTCATATCTAACTAAATATGAAAACCAAATGAATATTTTGTTTCGAGCAGCATAAAGCCAATATTTACATAGTTAATGCCGTAAATACACGATGTGGCATTTTGTTGGTCTTGTTTTTGGCTATAGTAAATATAAAATCGAATCGATCTGAAATCAATTTGTCATCTATCGTATGGTTCTTGACAACAAAGTAATCAAAGAACACCATGTAAATATATAATTATAAATATATCAGTGGTTGGGCAGGAGTATGCCCTCTCTCCTCTTGCGAGGGGGGACAAGTGTCCTTCTGCTACACTGCCGCTTCAGACCGCAAGAAAACGTACAGACTGTTATGGTATTGATGCCGATCACCGTTTTATATACACACATCAAGCTTACATTTAAAAAAAAAAAAAGGTGATTGATCTGAGGACAGTAAAAATATGACCACGAGTCATGACTATGAGAGCTCATTGAAAAAGTCTTACATGTTCTTGTAAGTTTGGTTACTGGCTGCTCTCTTTACAATTGTTCTCTTAAAATACCAGATATAAACACCAACAAATACAAGTTGTATATATTTATACAAATATTTCTGCATATATGTATAAAAAAGGCACATGGTTCCACTGTCAGATATAATAGTGCGCACTGCCATTTGATTTTGTCATGGTCTGAACGTAGCTCATTTACCAAACAATTCTCTTCCAAAGCGTGAGGCTAACTCCAGGTCTAATTCTCTTTACGACTCGCTAGCTATCTTTGATTGTTCGCCAAGGACTAGATGGCCCATCTCTATATTTAAATCTAGGACTCGCACAACCAATCGCAAGGCAATTTCGGCATTTTGCTAGCTGGCCATGGTAAATAGCCAGAGGTCTTAAAAACCCAATAATCATAGGATACTTTGGTAATGAGTGCCAGCAGCAGGATGACTTCGGCGGCTATCAAATAGTAGATATAATCAGTCCAGTCGGGCGGTGACTGGCATAGTTTTGCCTCCTGCAGCTCAATGACACTCTGGGGTATATTCCGGCAGCGTATCTCCATGTAGTCGGGTATATCGGTGCTACGTTCCTTGAGCCAGTTCTGCAGAGTTTTGGCAGAGTTGCAGTCGCATTGCAGCTTGTTGCCTGCCAGATAAATTCGTCGACCTGTATCCATCAGTGCGTTGTTCAGAAAGTATTCGGGTATCTGTAATGGTTGTCTGTGATGTTAAATGCACTTTAGAGTTCTTTGCGCCAGCACTCACCTTGCTCAGAGAATTGTTGCGCATGTAGATGCGCTGGAAGTTCTCAATGAACTTTGTGCCCTCAAATTCGTAAATGGAGGCTATCTGATTGTTGTCGGCCACCAGTCTGTTGATGTTATGATATGTTGGATTGGTTTGAAAGTGGTCGCCCAGGCTTGTTATTTTGTTGTTTGTTATATTCAGCACAAACGTGTTGTCGGGCAGAGTGGGCGGCAGTTCCACCAGCCCCAGGTTGGAGCAGTCCACATGGCATTTTGGCTTCGACTGGTCGTCCTGTATGATCATGATGCTCTCGAATCTGCATGTGCAGTTGCCATAGTTCTCTATCACCGGGCACTTGGTCAAGCAACGCTTGGTGCTCTCCAGCTGCTCCACGGAAACCAGGTCCGTGGACTGGAACCACTCGTGCGTGGCATTGTACAGGCAGTAAGAGTGCTTTGGATTCACAAAGTTGAATGAATCATTGTTGATTATTTCGTTTAGCGGATTGCAGAGCATGCGCATATTGCCACTGGAAAGCAAGACAGGATTAAGACAGCGCTAAATGTATATGGATTTAGGGGATCCCCACCTGATGTCCACAGTTATGTTTTTGTTCTGATTGTGATGTGGCACCAGCGATAGATTATTTCGCGACATGCCAAAGAACTCCAAATGGGGAACATCCTTGAACATTCGTAATGGTATCTCCGATATATTATTGTTCGATATGTTGAGGCACTTGAGCGTGGAGTGTCGCGGAAAGGCGTTTGTCAGCTTCGTAATATTGCCATCGGTCACGGCCAGCGACTGGAGGGAGCGGAATATGGGATTGGAGAGATCCATGATCGGCACAGTGAGATTTCTCACGTGCAGATTGCTCCATTTTGATATATTGCTGCAACTTGAGATCATTGACATTTGCGAGATGTTGCAGCAATACCAGGAGTTGGCCTTCACCGGATGCTCGTGGCACTGGCAGCTGTTGGCATTGCGCTCTAGGCTCTGGCCGTGGCCCTGACTGGCATTGATCTGCGCACCAAAACTCTGTGAGTCTGATTCTGGCGTCGTCGACACGTGTCCCAGTGCGTCTGGTGCTTCGTTTGCCTGGCCGTCATGGCCAAACTTGCACAAGTGCTCTTCGGCATAAAAACAATGCTTCAGATACTCGGGCTGCTCCGGGGCAGCGGGCAGCAGCGGAACGGGTACAGTGGTTGAGGTGGAGGTAGAGGACGTAGCTGGCACTGCCGTTGCCAAGGCCTGAGTGTGGGTGGCTTCAGTTGCGACACCAGTTGCTGCGCCCTGCGCGATAGCCACGGCGGGAGCTGGTGTCGTTGTTGGCGCCACAGTTGCCAATTCATCATCGTCTGGGCGAGGAGCTGTCAAGGAGTGAGCATCTTCCCTTTTATCCACCAACGGCTCGTTCGCCACAGCATGCTGCTGCTGCTGCTGCTGCTGCTCTGGTCGTGCGCGTGCGTGTTCAGTAAGGAGCACCAGCAGTAGCCAAAGCAATGTGCACTTCTGTAAAAAATAAAGAATAAAGAAGAACACATTAATAATAGAGAAACGTATAGTTGGGTGGAAAAGGGAAAGAGCACGTATGTATGTCCATATGCAAATATTTGCTATATTTTGCGGCGTTTGTTTACGCAATGAATTAGCCATCACAACGCGACGAAGGCTTGGCCCTCGCCCGAGGGTGCAGCCCTACGCCCCCGGCCCTGTGGCAATTAGGGTACGTAGGTGTGGCACTTTAAGCGCCACAGGCTGTTGGTTACCAACCCTAATCACACAGTACACACATCGGGGGGCTACATCCAAATGGCTTATACATGTTTGCTCTTCTTCGTTTAGCGCCTTTAGCGGCTTAATTTGAAATGACACCGCTACGCTAATTAAGCAATTAATTAACGGATCGCTTGAATGCGATAAGAGGCCCAATAAATGTATAACATTTATTTAACAAGCCCTGTGCTGTGTGGCGTAAGTACGGGACATAAAGTCCAACGGAATTTCATATTGGAGGCAGCAGATACTGTGCACTGCTTTGCTGGTCCCGTTTAAACGGTTCTGATAATTCTACATACTGCTTATGAACGTTCGACAGCAGACATATGTAACATACATGCACATCTATTTACATACAGTTATATGCGACACATTCAAAAAGATAAAACAGAGACTCACACAATCTTCTTTCATTTTCCCTCTATATGCACATATTTACAGCATGTTTTAAAGATTAAAAATTACTCTCAGTTCTTGTTCCTACACCCACACACTTTCATGCATACATACATAAGAGGGTGTGCGAATAATAGGAAATGTATTTGCCTGCGCGAACGACTTACGTGTTTGAACGGGGACATTGTCTTTTGATCTCTAATGGAACACAGCTAAAAGTGAAGTTGAATGCCTATCTGCTCCGATTGTGGCTTGATTTGTGGAAAACACACTGGTAGCCGCCGAGCAATTCACATTTTCATATCCACATGCCGTGGCATTAAATGATCTGCGCATAGACAATTTCAAGCGGCAGCACAGACAAATGCTACCAGTTTTTTGGGCGTTTTCATTTGCTGGGTGGCTTGCAGTGCTGATCTACTCAAATATTATCATTAAGGTACACCAAGAATCGAACATTTTATATGTATTAGTTTTATCTTAATTCGAACAAAACAAAAGTAACGTCAGTGTGACCGCGGATTTATCGATGAAATATACCGCACGACCCTCAAAGTATATCTTCTTCTTTTTACAATATACCGAATCCCAAAACAAAGCATCCTCGATTTTGATATTCCATTTAATATTACCAGCTAGTTAGGACTCTCAGCGCTAAAACTATAATTGTGTCCTTTTAATGCATTTATTTTCCGTAAGATTGGCCAGTTTTCTTCTATAAAATAGTAATCAAACGCAAAAGGTACATTAACAATAATTTTGTATAAAACGCATCTCAGCTGTTTTCTGTGCCCATAACGATGCATCGAGTCAATACTGTCGATATATTCCGGCCATCCGCTGCAAATATGTTTGCAACCAAAAAAAAACATCGATTGATTCAAATATAATTTAATCTAACATCGCTAGGACAAACAAAAACAAAAAATTATTGCAATTTCAACGTCCCGGGAAAAATTGCGTGTCTATTTTTTTTTTTAGTTTTGATAGCAGTAGCTCTAAAAATATAAATTTGATATACATTTAAAAAAATTATTAGATTTAACCCAAATACTTTAATACTTGAGATCCAAAATTGAACTTTGGATTGGATTTTGATTGCGAAATTACGCTGTAAAACCACGTAGCGAAAAAATGCCCATCGATACGCGGGAGCTGATGGAGGCCATTGCCATTGTGGCCGACGAGCAGAATGTTCGCGTCGCCGTAAAGCAGTCCGGCAAGGGAGCAGCCATTTGTGCAGCCTGCTCCTTCGCTGGCGGCATGCTTATGGGCCCCGTGGGTCTGGCAGTTGGCGGTGCGGCCGGTGGCATCGCAGCATACAAAATGACAAGCGGTGAGTAGGCATTCACCTTTGAACTAACGCATGATAATAATCATTGAAAACTCTCTGACTCTCCGCTTGCAGGCTCATTTAGGCCCCTGGGCGAAGTAATACTCAACGACCTGACGGACAGGCAGCGCGAGCAACTGGTGCAGCATGTGACCAAGGCCGTGGCCGAGATCCATCCCACCGACATAGTGATGCTGCTGCCGCTAATAGTCCAGAATGTATCAATCCAACAGGCTGTTCTCAACACCGTCATGTCATTTGTAACCAACGAACTGCGAATGCAAATTATCGATTGACGATCTGTCGCTGTAGCTCGTGCCATTTGCATAATTCAAGGGACGAAATTAGTCAGTAATGTTGTGATTTGTAGGTTTATTAATAAATACTTTATATTTACAATCCCATATTGATGCAGATGTAGATGTAGATTATCTACTACTCCCACTCGACATTCACCTGCTCCCAATCGTCGACGAAAGGCTGATCGATGGTCTCAATAAACATGCTGCAATACAGGCAATCGCTCGCCAGAATGTCCTCGATCTCTGTCTTGATCTCCGAACGCTTTCTTTGCTGATCGACTGAAGTCGTTGCCGACGTAGTCGGCACTGCAGTCGTGCTCTGCGCTTGCGATTGCGTCTGCATTTCTGCCTCCAGCTGCTGCTTCAATATGCCCAGTCGCCGACTGCGCTCCTTGTTGAGCAGCGGCATCACCTGTTTTTCCAGGCAATCACTGTGGAACTTGTGGCCACAGATGAACGCAAAGAAGGGCCTCATGGGCAGCATGATGTCGCAGATGGAGCATGTGTCCTGCGCATCTATGCGGATTTTATGCTCACGCAGCTGTTGCAGCTCCTTGCCCACGCGATCCGACTGCTCCTGCGTCTCGGCCATTTCACGCTGCAGCTCTTGAATGCGCTGGTTATAGTCCTGATGGGTATAACGGAAAGAAAGTTATTTGTACACAGATCTCAAATGGGACACAGATCAAAAGTCCTACCTTTAAGGCATCACAAATGGCCTCCTTAAAGTTATCTATTTTCTCAAAGTCGGAAAAGAATGGCAACAGATCCTCGATGCGCAGCAGGTCGCACTCTTTCAGCAGATTCAGAGCCTTCTTCACATCGTTGGTGCCCTTGATGTCATGATAAGCTGCAGGAAAAATAAGATGCCTGAGAATACATTCGACTTGGGAGCAAATCGATTCAATTACCTATACGCAGCCATAGTTTGCGGCGCATTCGACTGTCTGTGGGCCGCGAGGCCGTCTCCTTGGCCAGCTTCATGTCGAATTTCAATGCCAGATCCACCGCAGAGATCCACATGCGCAGTATGCACTGCAGGAAGACACACGCCTCCTTCACATCGAGATCTGTGCACACCTTGAGCGCATAGTGGATGTCGTAGTGGACAAGACTCTCGTCACGTCCCTGAATTTCCAGGTACTTCATGAGCAACTTTGGCTCATGCTGTGCGTACAGATGCAGCAGGAAATTGTGAATGGCATCGTTGGTGGTGTTCAGCTTGTAGATGGCAAATTCCAGATAGCGAATGGTCTGCTCCCGCTGCTCTCGCGTATCTATGACTATGAGTGTGGGCACCAGCTTCTCCACCTCCAGGTTGGCGCCCTGGGCAATCAGCGCATCGATTGTGGGCTTGGGCAGCTTCTCCATAAGCACTGGCGCGTACTTGTAGTAGAGCTGCATGTCGCGCTGCTTGCCGAGTGTCTGCAGTGCCTCGGCATAGCGTTCGGCCTTTAGCTGCTGCTCCACCACCTCCTCGTAGTCGCCAATGGCAATGGCGAACTGGGCCATATTGTGGGGATCCGCATGCTCGGCGATGAGCTGCTGCACCGCTGCACTATTCCGGGTTGTGCATGCGAGGATGGGCGGCTCTCGCATAAACTCATCGTACTCGGACTGCCACGCCTGGCGCCAGTCCTCGTTTTGGTCGGGCATGTTGATTTGAATGAGGTACAGATCGACAAGCCACACCACCAGCGCTTTGATGGCCGTCGCATGCTCCTCCTCCATGGCCTCCATATCGGCGGGCATTGTGGTCAGGCGGCTGAGTCGCTTCTTCACGTAGTTAATGATCGGCCGCTTGTCCGGCAGCACCATGAACTTCAGGCAAACCTCCTCGAAAGACTTGGCTGTCTCCGCATAATAATCTGCTGCCACCTCATAGGAGCCCTCGCTGAAGGCGGCGTCTGCCCGCTGTGCGAGCACCAAGTCCAGATGCTCGGGCACCTCGGCTGCGTGTGCTGTCGCGAGTTCGTATTGGCCCTTGTCCAGGTAAATGCGCCACACATTTCGCTCCTCGTTTGTGACCCTCAAGTTGAAAACTGCCTTGACGGTGTACACATAGATAGATCCGGTGATGTCATCCCGTTCGATGCTCAGCGGCTTGCCCACTCTCGCCTCGTCCAGTGGCTCGTGGTAGACCAGCTCCTGGTTCAGCAGGCAAACGGCACGGATGTGATCACCATAGAGCAGCACCGCATGGTACTCGGTGAGCACAAAGGCCTTGGGCACATTCAGGCGACGCTCCTCGTATGACAAATGCTTCGCCTTCTCAAAGTCCAGGCTGATCAGGGTGTCGCCCAGAAGCGTTGCACTGCCACTCGCTTCGATTGAAAGCTGAAAAGGAAAACAAGAAATAACTATCTGATCCAGCAGTCGTCGGAGTCGATGATTACTCACCTCACCCACACGTATGCCGGCACCGCAAAGCCACGCCCACTGCTTTGGGTATTTGCTATTGGGCGGGGCAAAGAATCGCAGCTGGGAGTAGGTCAAGTCGGTCTTGCGCTCCTCGCAGTGCGGCTCCTGCACCCCATTCACATAGCCCGCGAATATGGGCTGTAGGGTGCGCTCCTCTGGCTTCAGTGTCTCCTGGAATGTGTAGATGCACTCCGGACTGGTGACCACAACGATGTAGCGACTGCTGTTTGGCACCCGCAGCAGTCTCAGGCCGGTGATTGGGTACTTGGGGCGACCCAGGCCCAGGTCGTACAGCTGCTTTCGCTGCGTGTGATTGTCGCTGGTGGGGCTGAGCTCCGTCTCGAAGACGAGGCCGCGACTGGTGCCCAGCAGGATGGGGCCTGTCGTCGTCTCGTTGCCATGGTACGGATTGAATGCCACAGCCGTGATTTCATGGTCCTTGAACTTTTCTATCCGACGCACCTTCAACTGCTGCGCCGTCGACGATTCGGAGCTGTGAACGTACAGAAAGTCGGCGGAGAGTCCGGCTGAAGCGGATTTCGGCACCACGGAGATCACCAGATGATGCCCCGTGTGGTCCAGAAAGATCTTTGTTATCTTGTAGCCAGACCCAGAAAGATATCGCTCCAGCGCCACTTCTGCAAAACAGAATTAAATGTTGTTTTTATGTTTCAAGTGTCAGATACTTGGGGGAAACTTACCGCCCGGTGGAATCGCACGCGGCAGGAAGAAACGCAATAGGGTTGTACGTTCCGGTGAGCCCAGCAAGCAAACGAGCCAATTCTTCGAGACAGTCAGGTGCATCAGGTCGCCCGTGCAGTCTGTCGGCACCCGGAGTACCATTTTGTGTTTACTAAATATCTCGTCCTCCTCCTCCACATCGAAGGGATTGCCGGATGCAGTTGCGACGTACGAATTGGATGTGTTTGCCATTCGAGGCAGAAACTTGGGCTGGTTTGGCATTGCCTGAGCCATTTTGTAGCCAATTTCTTTATTTATCAATTTTTATTTTCAATACGCCCCACCGCCCACTCATATATTGATATATCAATTTATCGATATATACTTTCGACTGATGGTATCACCACAGCAGCTGATATTTCTAAGGAATGGCGAATATATAGGGGAAATATTTGTGGGATATGTCAAGAGCTGAGTTTCAAAGAAATCGACACTATTTCTTTAATTGTTTTCATGTTTTCAGATCGTAATACCGTAACTATTGATTCTACTTGCGTATTTTTTCGATGTGCATGCATATATCGATGCTTCTGTGCGATATATGGCACGTAGATATCGATATGCAGGGGATGGGAGAGATGGGCGCAGCAGCGCGCCGATAGATGTCAACCGACATTAAAATTCAAATTCAAACGCACACCCCAAGCTGGTTCCATTACAGCTATCATAAGTTGCCCGTTGATTTCAGCAACTTTCATTAAGTGTATGGCTATTTATGA